GCTGTAGCTGGGATACAAGAAAATACCACCGTTAAGAAGCGTTCGGTGCACATCAGCAACCATTGAGCCCACATAACGCTGTCCCATGGCCTGAAAAGATGTTGGCGCTAAAAGTCTGAGTGGTGACCGTATCGGAGGGCAAAAAGGGGCGGCACCCACTGTGGCCACGTCTGCGCATTGCCAACAGTCGCTTGATACACATAAAATCGTTATCGCTGAAGTGAGTGGGGGCGGGTATGTTGCAAGAGAATCGTATCGCCGCGAAAAAGGGCGCCGCGTGCGACGCCGCGCCCTCTAATGACGACGATTTTAGATGGTATTGGTCGAGAGCAATCAAAGTATCCAAAAACAGACACAAGCGCCTACCATGTCCTTGTCTGCATAAAATCTGATGCTCAAATTGGAGGGGTAGTGCAAATTAAGGAAGCGTCGCACGACAAAGCGGCACTTTACAATTCTCTTGCCCGTCTCCCAGTCGGGGTGTGTCAGTGCAGCATGGATTCTCGAGCTTCGCCAGCCTTTCTCCACCGCTCAATGAATACGCGAGAATGCAACGATCAGAAATGTGAAACATTACCAACGAGGCGGTGCCGCGCCAAAACCCACGCCGCGCTGACACGCCCCGGCTCATTCCGGTGATAACGACTGCATGTCTCTGCCTCTCTTCAGTCTGTGGCCGACAGTCGTCCACACGCACGCAGCCATACCCCTTCCTGGTCCCAGACACAGGTTTTACCCCTGTATTTGATGACAGCGCTTTTGGATACTTCAAGGCTAAATCCTTCCAATATTTCGTCAGTGGACCTTGGAATTTTAGAATCACCTTTTTGCCTGGAGGAGGGTCTTTCCGGGTGCGAATGTACTCTGCAATGCCTTTGCTCCACGTGTTTGCATATCCTTCATTCAATGAATATATGCTTCCTTTTGATTTGCATTTCATGTTTGGATGGGTCAATATGAACTCTCCAATAGCCTGAAATGGAAAAATTAAAAAAAATTCCTTCAATATTCTGTGTGTTCCATCAGAAACTCTTGAACTGTATGCACAGCAAGAAGAGAATACTGAAAGGACAATTGACAGCTTCACGTCGGACGCCTCGGAATGTGATGGGCGGAGCATTTCAAACCATCCGCCAATGAAAGCACGCTAGGAGCAACACCTTCGCACCTTCCATTGGTGGCTGGCTGCATGAGTCCAGTCCGCCCACTGCTCGCGGTACAAGCAAAATGATTGCTCTTTCGAGAACTTGCCGATGCCCAATCAAATTCGAGAGATAAGCTATTCATCAGCTGACGAGCCCTTTTTTAGGAGGGTGGGGTTTGAGCTCGATTTCATATTTTCTTAGATTTTCAGAGTAAGAGAGAGAGGGAGAGGAGAAAAACAACAATACCAACAAGTGTTAAAACTTACCGGATCAAGAGTGAATCCATTCACGCCATTGCCGGATGTCAGTACAACAATGGTGGCAGAACCGTATAGAGCATAACCAGCAGCCACCATTTCGTGTCCAGGCCGTAGAACATCGTCTAACGTGGGAGCACCTTCGCTAATCTATAATAATATGGATAAGGGCTAATGCATGAATACTGTCACCGAGAGGGACTTGAATCAGGTTAACTCCCCCCAAGGAGATTATATTCACTTTCTGCCTTCTGTTCTACTCGACTACCGGTGCATTGAGAATTAGATTCATTAGCTGTCGCTTATGCAGCCTTCCAACTTCGCGATGACGCGCGTCAACGCGCTACGTCGCACTGCCATTGGAATGGCGTTCCATAGACGGGAACGCAGCCATAGGCGTCGATCGATAGGCGCCGGCCGCTAGGACTTTAAGAGAGTGTAGGGTAATAGGAGGGTAGCCTTGCCCAATCACACAAATCTGTATTCTAGTGGCTTACTGAAAAGAGTATAGTGGCATAGGTAGAGAGGAGAGAGGAGAAAAACAACAATACCAACAAGTCTCAAAACTTACCGGATCAAGAGTGAATCCATTCACGCCATTGCCGGATGTCAGTACAACAATGGTGGCAGAACCGTATAGAGCATAACCAGCAGCCACCATTTCGTGTCCAGGCCGTAGAACATCGTCTAACGTGGGAGCACCTTCGCTAATCTATAATAATATGGATAAGGGCTAATGCATGAATACTGTCACCGAGAGGGACTTGAATCAGGTTAACTCCCCCCAAGGAGATTATATTCACTTTCTGCCTTCTGTTCTACTCGACTACCGGTGCATTGAGAATTAGATTCATTAGCTGTCGCTTATGCAGCCTTCCAACTTCGCGATGACGCGCGTCAACGCGCTACGTCGCACTGCCATTGGAATGGCGTTCCATAGACGGGAACGCAGCCATAGGCGTCGATCGATAGGCGCCGGCCGCTAGGACTTTAAGAGAGTGTAGGGTAATAGGAGGGTAGCCTTGCCCAATCACACAACCTGGTATCGCTAGTGTTCTGGGAGAGTATAGTGGAAGGGTATCAGACTGCATAGTTAAGCTTGAGCAACGCGTACAATCCTGCTCTCCTACACCCTCTCAAAACACCACCGGCCAGTTCCGATAGATACCCGTCCATGGCTGCGTTCCCGTCTAGCACTGGAGCGCTATTGCGATGCGCAACGTAGCGCGTCGACGCGCGTCATCGCGAAGTCTGACCGCTGCCTAAGAACGAATGCTGAGCGATCCTCACCTTCCTATATATTCCGAAAATTGTCCCTATAGAAACCAGGCAGTCAATATTTGAAGATCCGTCAAGAGGGTCGAACGTAACAATATAGTGTCCTTGTTTGCTCTCCTCCACCTAAAATATTTCAACAATTTGTAACTCATCAGCAAAAAAAGAGTGTATACATGTCGCGCCAAAGAGGTAGCTCTCCGTCTCCGCCCACGCGATCAGCGCGTCTAAGGCTGTGTAGGTGAACGAATATGATGAGGTGATTCTCTGCGACAATAATGAGACGAGGATAATGCATTCCAAGGCACAACTCGAAAAAAAATTTATGTGTATCCATAATCGCGTTAACAAGGTAGACGGGTACCCAAGTGCAAAGCTGCCCCGACTTTTAGAAAACTGATTACGAAGAGGCTATTTTACTGGTCCACATTCGCCCATCAATGCACTCCCCGCCCAAACATGGACGAGAATGGAATGCCTATAGTTTCTCTCGTCTAATAGACTCCTCTTCTCTCCTTATTTACATTTTTATCGATTGTGGAGGAAAGTGACTAACACAATATGAACTGAATTACAAAATCCGAATTGCGGGTAGTTACTTATTAAAGGTACCTCAATGACTTCATCGTTTTCTTCTGAAACAAGCATGCATGTAGTATAGCTGGATTTCAGCATATTAATCATGAGTTCGTTTGACAGCACATCCAACTTCTTTACTTCTTCGCCTTGTACATTCGTAGAGCCGGCGATTCCATATCTAAAATTTCAGTCAGTACGTTCTCAATTCGTGTACCCTTTCAGGAAGTGTTTTTTGAAGGATCCGAACGACTAGTTGAGCAATAATAGTAACGGATCACCATTAGGGCACAAAGCATCTTAAAAACTAACGTGAAAAGTGGGGAGTTTGTCAGTCCTTTCTGCGGTAGCGCCATGCTTCTATTTTTATTGCGAACCATACTGATATAATTCTCGAACTCGACGGGCTTGGGAAAGAAGGAGATGAAGACCTTCCGAAGGGGTACGAGAATATAAGCCCAGCTTTGAGCTTATTAGCTACTCTACTACAGCTAAGTAGGGGTGTAAGACACCATTTTAGTCAGTATCCATTCATTTCTCCGCCCAACCACTCAGCGCGGAGTATGTTTGCGAACAGAAGGCTTTGTCCCTTATTCACTCAAAACGTACCGTTTTCACCACATACCGTTTTTCTAAATGGGAATCTTGTTAAAAAGTAAAGTGTGTATTAAACGAACTCACAACTGGGCCAATCCGGCCTTCTGTGTAGCGCTAGAGATGGCCTTCACTGCTGTCAGAAGTGAAGTCAGCAAATTTGTGAAATCTCCACTAGCCTCTGGATGGTTCTTTTGCTCAGCGAGCACGAACCTTTGCAACGTCATGGAATCGGTTTGAATACCATACTGTTGTGAATCCGACATTATTGAGCCCCTGAAAACGGTGACATTACCCGTTGATAGAGTAGTGCTGAAGTACTGCTCGTTGAAACCCCACGCAAAGCTTGTATTGACTATTTTTTGGATTTATGTTAGAGAAAGGCAGAGCCCGTGTCCATCGCCTGGGTGAAGCTACCACTAACCTTGAAAGTGTTATCTTGAGGGGTTCCCTCACCCCGCCTCTAAGGAAGGCCAGCCAATAATCGTTTTACCATACTCGTAGGAGATTTCAACAAGTGGTTACTTACACATACATCCTCAAAAAAAATCAGAAAAAAAAACCGAGAAACGACGACAATGCACAATTGATATTCACTGCCAGTAAGTCTGGCCAGTGTCAGGACGCATGGAACGAGTCAACCTGCCCCTTTTTCCTGTCACTGGTTGCTTTCATTCTGAATCGACCCTTAATAGATTCCTATTGGTGGAAAACGCAGCGCGGGCGCCCCCATTCCACGCCTCCTCACTCCTTCCTGACTGACAGCGACTAGGGAGGTATGCATACATAGAACACTACAATACAACCACAAAATAACAACTGACAAATTCGACTCATACAATCTAACAAAATCAATCCGACACCGGCATCGCAAAAGAGCGAGTTTCAGAACACTCTCCACGAGAAATGAAAGACTTGTGAGTGATTGGGGTTTCAGGAATTTTCTACCCTTACCAGCAGAGATTCGGCGGTTCAGTGAAACTTGCGAAAATATGAGAGGAAAAAAGGGACCCAGCCTTTATCTAAGTGAAACAAGAGCGAACATGCGTGTACGCTCACTCTCCAGTACAACTGTTCTCATCGGGGAACCCCCGCCAACCTACCATGGAACTTCGAATGGAGACCTGGGTAGATCGATAGAGTCTATAAGGTTATTTACAAATATAGATAGCAAAACTGCAACCTGCATTTCACAAGCAACTTATGAGCAGGTAAAGTTTGTAATGGTGCAGTAGGGTGGAGGCTTGGTGGTGAGCTGTGAAGCATAAGCGAGGAATCGCGTCGTCGAACGTCGAACCTTACCACTGAACCACCACGACTCGATTCGACGTATGCGATTCCTCGCTTATCCTTCACAGCTCACCACCAAGCCTCCACCCTACTATATTTGTGAAATAACCTTATAGACTCTATCGATCTACCCAGGTCTCCATTCAAAGTTCCATGGTAAGTTGGCGGACTTCTCTAGTCAGTCATCGTGACCGATGATTGCCTTCGCTCCACTTTTGAAAGTTGGAGCAGAGTGCAGCATCGCGGGAGAACTCCATCAGGGGGGTCAAACTTAGTTGCTCGGGAAGAGGACTGTATTTGCCCTTGAGAAGACCTCACACATTACAAGCTTCATTGAAAGTCGATCGTTGACGTCCTCTGACAAAATGTTCTCCGAGCCGGGACAGAATCCTATCCCTTTTGAAGTTCCTCGATTTTTCCCGCTAGTAATCCCTGTCCAGTTGCCGGCGCAGCAAAACTAACATTTGCCAGCATCAAAGAAAAAAAAGATAAAAGAATTAGAATTAGTTGATTGGTGACGACCTCACCTCTCCTTTTTTATTTTCGGGGAAAAACTGAAATAATTCATGGGAAAGGGGGTAGGGAATATGTGAAAAATGAGAATTATGGTAGGTAAGATAGGGAAGGAGTAGCACTACAAGGAGAAATTTCGGGGATTGAGTGGAAAGGGGGGGGGGGGAGAAGGGTTTTTACTGATACCGCCATTCACAAATCACGATGTTATACCCTGACCTACCCTCAAAGGACCCCATAGACAACGATGATGGACGAAGTTTGGATTCCCTACCAATCCACCGCTCATAATTTTATGAAGTTTTCCTGTAAGATAGCGGCTCTGTGATAAGAACGATCCCTCCGCTCTTTGTCTGGAGCTCCCTCCTCTAAGACTTATTGATTAGGCAAATTGCTCACTCCGCTGGCTCGCATCGTGTTTTCCGCCTGTTTATTTATTAATTTTATTCGAGTTGCGCCCACGATCTCGCTACAGTCTCTCGCATAGAAGCACAGTACTTATTCAAAAAAAAGCAAAAAAAAAATCGAACTACGAATTTTAGAAAGAAAAGTTCCATACAGACTATAAGAAATTAGAGGACACTGAAAACTCTAAACCCGCGGCCGTACTGTAAATGAAAGTGATAAGAAAACTATTACACATTACCAGATATCTAGAGGTCATCGTCATCATACAAAATTACTAAAAAAATCATCGGTCCAAGAGAGATAGCTGTCAAGCAGTACTCTTTGCTGCAGTGATGTTGTTAGACATATCTGTTCCCGTCTTATTTTGGTTGTACTTATTATCTCACCTTTTTTGATGCGGCTAGGTGCTGAAAAAAGACGTACCACGTGAGTACTACTTTTCTTGGAAATCTATGATAAATGATGAAAGCACAAATTCTTCACCGTTGATCAATCCCTTTGTGGGATGCGGCACGCATTCTACTTCCATTCAGAATCGTAGTGGCTTATTGAATGCGATGTGGCCTATACAATGACTTGCGGTGGCCAGCCGATGTACAAGTCAGTGTTTATCCTCCCAGACGAATCTGGTACCAATTTACCGTCTCCAGAGGGTAGAAGGTTTGGCTGGCCTGAGCGGGAGCCGATCCGGGATAGCCAAGGATCACGCGAGTGGTAAGCGCGTCTCTTGTCACTACACCACCTCCGACTCGAGTTTATGGTAAAAAAACATTTGCGCTTTTTTTCAATGTCATAGGTGTGTTCTGCACTGAAATGACCCATCATATTGGAGAAGCACCGTGCAATTTTGTAATCCCCTGCTGTTTAACTTCTGGACCAGAAAAAACTGCAGTGTGATAAATTGGATGAAGATAGCAATGACTCTTTTCGGTACATGATCCTTTGAAAAGTTGCTATTTTTGCAAAAAAAAATAGAAAGGTAGGAAATTTACAAACAAAACAAGTTTCACACCAATATTAGCAGCAACAATACAGAATGAAAGACCTCACACGACTTGAATAAATAATTCTTACAAGTTCTTGGGAGTGTGAAATGACTTTTAGCACAACTTGCCAAAAGGAAATGGTCCCATGTTAATCTACAAAACGCCGAAATTGTCAGAAACGACCGCTAAGAACTTTTCTACGAAATATGGATAAAAAATGCACAGCAACGAGAGGGAAAAGGAGTGTAAGTTTCACCGTTCACTGCGATCAATGATCGCGGATGCGGCGGCATAGGCCAAGGTCTCATAGACCAATATAATGGCACTATCATGATTTCGCTATTGACCGGCGCCCACCCACCTCGATCCTGCTAGGTTTTTCCGCGATGCTCGCGAAATGAAGTGAAGGTTGGAAAGGTTTAAGAACCGGACATTGAAGAGCTTGGAGAGGGACTGG